ATACTTGTGTCAGACATTTGTTGTACAGAGAAATTACGACATGACAACAGACATATGGTAGATATATAAATATTTATGCAATAGATGGAGAGAACAGTCAGATTAAATACCTCGAGATATATGGAATAGACGAGAACATATCCTGCTCACGTATCGATCTACAAATACCAATTTAAAATTAGGAAGTTGTTCTTTTTGGGAAGTTATATTATACAAGGAATAAGAGCAAAATACAATACGATAATGTAGCTTGTATTTAACATAATTTTTGTAGCTTTTGAAGTGCAGGTGGTCGTGAATTGGACACTCCCATCATGAAGGTCATGCCATACTAGAAGGAAAACGTGTGATTCGATCTTCTAACACTTCATCAGTTGTTCCAGTCACACGAATAGCAAAAGGTACATCAATAACATCCACACCTTGCAAGAAGAAATTAAAGCTCTGTCTAGGGAGATCGATCCAGGTGTCTTGTCCATCTGGCTTTATGGCAATAGATTTAATTGGTACACGATGATCGACAATTTGAAATGCAAACCACCATTTTGAGCTACCATCTTTAAATTTGTATTTGATGTTTCCATCAACGACACATTCTACCACTTTCCATTCTATATCTATTCTTCCATCTTCGAGATTGCCCAGTTGAGTAAATGCATCTGTGCTCAGATTTATATCACCCTCTGGACAACCGGCACATAGGTCAATTATTTGTATGAAAACCGTATCACCCTGTGGTCCAGTTACCTCAACACATTCACCACATGCCTAGAATAAATCATAAAATTATCTTAAAGGGCGGTGGTCGTCGTGCAGCGCCTGTTCCAATTTCATGTAAACAAACAGTGTTCAACATTGATTGTACACGAGTTTTGTGCGTCGCTATAAGTTACACATCGAAAAGGAAGCGGCGCGGCGACCATGTACCACCTCTACAATATGTTAAATGTTACGTCATGTAAACGTCATAAGATAGACTGGATGAAATACAGACATATTCATTCAATTGACTCTGTTCGGTATATGTCTTCCAGTTTAGATTTTACCTGAGATTCGTCCCATAATGCAGCTGTCATTGCTCCGATCATTAGGTCACCGCCAGTATTAATCATACAGGCTCCACTTCCAGCTGCCGCGGTGGCCGCACCATAGTAGAAGGTAGCTTCTCCGGAATATGTGCGTTCATCGATTGTACAGTCATAATTATCTGAATATCACAAAATATGGAAAAAAAAGCTTAATTTCTCCGCACAGTAAAAATGGTAAAGATGGCTATAACATTAGAACATAAAATTTGTTTAGCCTTTGAAGAATTGTGAGTAAATTTCGGCTTAGTGATCATAATTTAGAAATTGAAAGAGGCAGACGACAACGACCAAACATTCCCGCGGAAGAGCGATTGTGTAAAAAAAATGTCATGATACAAATTCAGACAAACAACATTTTATCCTAGACTTCGAATTTTTTGGCAAAGAAAGAGGGGAGCTGTTTCAAGAAAAAGAAATTAAAAATAAATCAAGTAAAACAGACAATTTGATTAAAATACTGACATGCTTTATACCCCTTGCAAAGTTTCTAAATAAAACTAAAACAGAAATTAAGTATATGTAAGTTATCACCCCCACAGTGGGATAATCCTGTAATTAACATTTATTTTTTCCTATTAAACTTTTAACATCTCTTAATTTTATTTGTTATCTTAATATAGTTTAGTTTATTTAGTTTAGTTTAGCTGCTGTATTTTTTCGATTTGAATTTGATTTTATACTGATAGTACAGAAGTGTAATAAAGTTATTGTTATTAATAATATCGTCAGTATTTTTTTTAGGTTGGAACGAATCGTGTTGCCAGTCTGGTGGTTGTTGTCCCTATGTAGATAGTTTAAGCTTTTACCATCCCGAGGTTACCACTACCCAAAATTTACATCATTGTTTAAGAATGGCTTTTTCCGACGACAGTTCCTTTTAAATGTAACGTTTCTATAGGTCGCACCCTCTAGCGGTGACGGTGAAGCGCTTTGTCAACACAAGTATTTCCGCTTGTCTGTCCGTTTGTCTGTGTAATCATTCGTCATTTAGAAAATACTAAATCGCGAAAAGGCTGAATGTGTTATTGTCAGTCAACCAAAGATCGAAAGGACTTTGTAAACGGTGTTTCTTACAACCATTAAATTACGTCACAGGGGCACTTCATTGATAGAGGGCGTCTATATTGCATGTTGCTGCTGTATACTAGTATAACCCAGAGTTATGGGGGAACCAGAATTGTAATTGCATATTACAGAGTATGACATGGTGGGAGTGTATACAAATGTTTTGCTGAGCATGCAGCCGCTTTGCTGGCGTTGCTTGTGTATATATTCGGTAGCGTCGCTTAAGTGTGGGCTTCGATTGACAAACCTCATTGCCGGTGCTGAACGTCACTTACATGACACGTACATTGCAATTGTTGACCTGTGACTGTGATGACGCATTGATTAGGAAAAACGGAAAAAAGGACCGAAGCATGCGCACTGCGTACACAATATGCTAATGATCATTAACGAGGTCATGATGATGTAAGCTACACACACAGTAACGGTAGGATACAAGTAATATTTCGGGGCAGTGGGCTAAATGCGGTCGTGGGGACTCGGGTTCGATAACAAAATACCCAGCTCAGTGTTGCATGTAAAGTTAGAATGTTGTATTAACGCTGAACAAGCAAAAACACAATCGTAATTATCGCTACTTGGATACAGTAATACACAGTAATGTGTCACGTAAAGCAGTTATTTCTCAAT